GGCAGAGTAGAGCAGCTGTGGACCAGCAGGAAAAAGTGCTTATCTGCCAACTGGAAGGCTGGGATTTTAGTTTCTCCCCTCACCACACGTTGAAGTGTCCTTGGGCAAGACACCAGGCCCCACATTGTATGTCTGTGTGTGAAAGGGTGACTTGTAGTGTGGCTTGTACTTGGTCAGAGGTGCTACACTCAACAAATCCCTTCATTTATCATTTTTTAAAGTTTCCTGCAGTCAAAATTAGTGAATTGTAATGACATTTAACTTTAACTTTTATTTAAGTTTTGTCACTGAATACATTTTTACTCTGTGTAGGTCTTCATCAGACAAACCAAGATGTAAAAGCTGGTTCCTGTACTTGCTCTCATTCAACAGAAAAAAAAATACACACACACACACACGCACACACACACACACACACACACACACACACATATATATATATATATATATATATATATATATATATATATATATATATATATATATATATATGTGTTGCCTGTGTGTTTGAAATCCTTTAAAACACATTCCTTTAGTGTTCCAAATTTTTGTTGAGGTTGATAGGAATCACATTGATATGGACTGTGCTGCAGATAAAACATCCAAGCTGCCTTCTATAAATGTTGGGACTCAATGCATTATCAGGTCTTTTTATAAAAGACCTTGAACTGTGTGTACTCCTGTTAAACTGGCAGGATTTTTTCATCCAAAAACTGTGAACAAACATTTTTTTATAGCCAAAGAGCCAGATTAGTCCATCACATTACAACATTTTACTAGTAATTGTTGGATGCCCTGTCTTTTAAATGTTCTTTTGATGATCACAGTGGTAGGTCAAAGGGACGTAGTTTATCATTGTAAATCACGTTAGTCGTCATGTTCATCATGTTAAACAAATACTTAGCAGTGTTTACAAATCATGTTTTAAACTCTGGAGAAGATTTTTTATGAAGCAATGCATTCTGTCCCATTTTTATGGCTGCTTTTCATGCTCCATCCATTTCATTTTTGCACCAGATAGTAGAAGATACTCCTAAATATAAAAAACTCCACCTACATACATGGAATCCAGAAGGTAGGAGATATTTGCACCATCTTTCCCACTTTTTACCAATAAACCCAACAGATGCAGAAAGTGATCAGAGATAAACATAAAGGAGGAAGCACAATCTAATTTGCAATCTGACTTAGTGATTTCAGCCTCTGGTCACTTATCCATGAAGTTACAAAAATAAGCCCTGAAAGTTTATAATATTTATATTGAATATTTCCCCAATCATAAGTTCTACCATACCTGCAGCATATCTTAATTTTTACCACTATCCATTACTTGGCAGATATATGTCAAGATCTCTAACATCTGATTTACACCAGCTGGTACAGCATGGTCAGTTATTAGTGTTGCCTCTCTCCTTACTGAGCAAATGTCTTCTCTCTGAATAAATATCGCGGACTACAGAAAAGAGGTACAACATCTTGTGGACTGGTGCAGAATAAACAACCTGCTACTGAATGTCGACAAAAGAGATCACTGTCTTCTTCAGAAGGTCTCGACCGAACCACACACCTCTCCTCATTAACGACAAAGCAGTGGAGATTGTCAGCAGCACTAAGTTTTATATATTTAGCAATACATTATTATTTGTTTATTATGTAATTATAGGCAGACTTGTGTTTCTATGTGTGCTCCGGTGGCCAAGTGATGACATTTCATTGCCAATCTTACTTATGTTTCTTTGTGCAATGACAATAAAATAAGTCTAAGTCTAAAATATCTCAAATAACACCTTAGTTAATGAGCATGGCGCTGTTGGGATAGCCCCATGTATAAAGGAGAAAATACAGATTCAGGTACAAATGTATTTTACATTGCTTAATAATTCTGACTCCTGCTCTCAGAGTAATTACAGTTTGGATGTCTGCCAAACTATCCGACCTGTGTAATGTAAACTGCAACATCAGTGGTAGTCCACTACTCTCATCCAGATGCTTCTGTGACCAACAATTTGGACTGTAGATTGTTGTAATCACTGACTATTCAGAGGATTATTTACACATTAAGATAAAACTTCCAGTAAGAGGGAACAAAGACTTGACGAAGAACAGCAGTTCTAGAGCCTCCAGCTCCTGATGATGGCAGTTCTTTCTTCTGACTCAACAGAAACATATGAAGGCCAAATGTTCAATGGAACTCTCTGAATTTTGGTAGAGTCCAGTGTCAGTAGTGGAAATAGAACTTGATATAATGAAACATGCTTGGCAAGTGCAAATTTTGTGTTTTTTTGGTGAAATGTCGGTCAACCAATAAGCTTGGCATTAATATAAAACTACACATTGGACTTGAATGTAAGACAGATGAGTCAACCACATGTTTGACCCAGTACCACATAGAAAAAGGTTACACAAAAAACAGAATCCAGACAGGAGCTGCCACCTTAGTGTCAAGCCCACCCACCTAGTCTGGGACACCTGGAAACACCCCCTCCCCCATCCTAAACTGCACATAGTCAATCATCCGACTGTAAAACATTTTTCGCTCAACAGCGTCTTTTCTGTCTTCATAAAATGGTAAAATTCAACGCAGACAGAACTCTGATGTGTACAAGTTACAAATTGTATGTTGAATCAATTTGACTCCTGATTTGTTGGTGTGGAAATCTTGGTGTAAGAGACAAAATTGTGAATGTCAGTAGTAAAATCACAGGTGCTCCTGACTGGCCTGTATAACTTTCACACTTTGAAAAAAGCTAATTCCATTCTGTCAGTGATCTCTGTCTCCACTCACCTTTTTCCCATTGAATCATTCTTTAGATTCCCTTCTATTTGGAGCAATAGGTATCAGCATTCACTTATTTCTAGTGTTGCCTCTCTCCTTACTGTAGGCAGGGAGAGGAGTTGTTAGTCTTTTTGTTGATGGAAAAAAATATATTTTAACCACTCAGTTTAAATGGTGTGTTCTTATTGACAGATTATTTTTTAAGAATTTATTCACCTTATTCATTTATTCACTCACCATACAGTCATCTATTTTTGATTAACACATTTTGTGTTTTAACCTCCATTGGGTGAAGCAGGGGAGTTTAGTGCCACACCCTCTATCTAAACATTAACTGTTGGGTGTGTTCTTGTTTTTGTTATTATTGTGACCTGCCCCAATGGGCAAAATGAATTGCCCATTGGGACATTAATAAAGACCTGAGTTTTGACTTTCCTATAAGTGAAATTCAGCATGAATATATCCTGCTTTAATGATCATTTATGCAATGAGACTGAGATTAATAATCATCTTCTCAATTTTAACAATTATTGTGGAAATGATGTTATAAATTGCATAATATGCAAGGCGACAGTAAGTTCCACAGTAGTGAGAAAAGTTGCTTACTCCTGCTTATAAAACCAGCTTAACAAACACAGTGAGGCGGCCGTTTCACTGAGATTAAAGTGTGTCTAAAATCCAAATGTTTGATGGAATGAGCTAAGTGTGAAACTTATTATGGCTGTGCTGAGACAAGACTGTGCTGGGCTGAACTCAACTAGTAACAGCATTTTCCTCCAGTAGGAATAATAATACTTAGTGTTTCTCCCGTCCTACACAAACACAAAGATTTGTTGTAATCCTGCCTCATCTGCTAAAACAAATTTTGGTCTATTTTCATAAACATGAAGTGCTGCTAATCTGAGATCTGAGTAAATACAGAAGCAGTCAAATCCTGCTTGAAATACATGCAGCAAAAAAGCGTAAAGGAGAAATATGCAGCCAGTACAGCCTACAAAATTGTATTGAAATGAATGAAGTTAAAATGTAGCCAGACATACATTAATGATGTATCTGTAGATTATGTAATATTACTGTTTTACCCTAATGTTGGTTTGAAATGTACTGTAAGAATTGGAGAAGGTGTGGCTCTAATCAACATGTTTGTCATGAATGATTAACATTACATTGTGTGTATACGTTTACTTGGTTTTGATTTTGCAATGTTTGCTATTACTCTCCTGAGTAAACGAGTCAGTAAGATGAACTTGTATTTAAAGAATTTATGCAGTACTATTGTTTTCGTTGTACCCATTTTACGGCTGCACAAAGTTTATTATGAATGTATGGTGATTGAACTAGAATTGTGCCCAAAGACCAATAATAAATGGAGGATAAATCAGAATAACACGTCATCTGGCAAATCTGCTGTTAAAATATGTTTATAATATATTTTTCAAAATACTTTAGAATGTGCTTAGGTTAATCAGAAAAAGTTAGCTTTTTCTATCAAGATTAAGAGATATACAATTTCATTTTTGTTTGGGAAACAGTGGATGAGTGGGTGGAGTCATCTTGGAAGCAGAAGGTTGTAGGTTTGATTTCAGCTTTTGCATTTCAATGTGCCACTGGACATGGCACTTTACCCCACGTTGCCTTGTGATCTGGTTATTGGTTTGAGTGCAGCTGGGTGCACATGACTCTGATGTAAAGTGTTTTGAGTGTGTAACAGTTTGGGCTTTGCAGCCAACTGCGGCTACAAGAGCAGCATCAGAAGATGATTCTTTAAGGAGCCTGAGGTGTGAATGAAGACACAAAGCAATGGTTTTTGTTTTAGTTTTGGTGTATATTTTAGTGATTTGGGAAAAAACAAAAAAACAACACAATTACAAATGCACAATGAGAGACATATTAACTCAAAATAAATCAATTCCAAGATCATGAAGTTCTTGTCCTTTTTCCTTAGCTCGCCATCCTTAGATCCAGTAGAGGATCTGATCCATCAAAAGAAAAAAAAAAAACAACAACCTAAAAGGCCAGAGAACCCATTAAGTGTTTTATCAAACAATGTACAAACATACAAATGCAATAAATATTAAATGCAAATGCAATTATTGAATTCTTAAATAAACATTTCAATCAGGTTAAATTAACCATAATTTAAATAAACAAAAATAATCATATTTCAAACTAATCAATTTAAAGCTGAAATCAAAGTTCACTTTCAAAATATCAGTCAAGGAAAAGAAAAGAAATTAACTCAAATAGTCAAGCAGAGTGGGGAAAAGAAAAAAAAAATAAGTAAATTAAATAAATATACTGTGCAATATCAACTTAAATGTAGCTACATCCTATTTGAATAAATTTCATTACAAAAGTGCCAGAGCTTGCACAAAACCAACGATCATGTTACCTTTGGGCAGAGAGTGGGGTACTAGACTGCGATCAGCTGTGACAATCTTGGTGACGGCCCAGCCAAACAGCCAGTCACAATCACAGTGGAACAGGTGATGTAGTTCAACTGTGTGCTGGAGGCGGGGCTTTAAATAAGTTGCAGAGTTTGGGGCAAAACAGTAAGTGAGCCCGCAAAAATAAAAGTCTTTATTAATTGACTAATTGTGGGTTACAAGTGGAACATATTACTGGAAAAATTATGTATATTCACAAAGGATGGAAGACTTATAAAATGAATAATATAAATAAAACATCAGCAAAGTTTAATAGTAGTTCTGAAAGAAATATCTACCTACATTGCCAGAGAGTTAAACAAGGTTAGCTATCAAACCAACAGAAGGCAGTTTATTAATTATACATGGTAGTAAGCTTTCTGATATTACCTTTAAGGAGTTATAATATATGGCGTTCATGTGGTTGCCATTATGGTCTGGATTTTTTGTTACTTGTTCATTTCTCTTCCTTGGCCAACTGACTGACAGATTACAGCAGAAGTGAAGGAGACAGATAACCATAAGAAACATTCCATTAAATGGAATTTAAACTGCAGGTCCAGAAAGTTGCAATATATTTAATGTTTTAAAACATGGACATAAAACTATTGGAAACTCTTGAAAACATATTAATTTATTTTTTTTATGTGCTGGATACTAATACACCGATTACCTAAAGCATTATCAGAGTCTTGGTGACATGTAAAACACTGCAGTAAATAGCATCAAAGGTACCATATCAGTGGTTCTTAACCTTTTTTGAGGTACCGAACCCACCAGTTTCATATGCACATTCACTTCTGTAGTGATAAATAAAATATTATTTTTTCCCCCAAATTCAAAACATAGGGGTGACCCAACTAGGGTCTAGTTGGGTCACCCCAAGATCACTAAGTCTTCTTAAAAGGTAGAGTCTCTGAGAGTCTCTGAAAATGTGTTTTTCATAGCAAATACCTCACTCTTTACCAACTGAATTATACTTCAAATTGCCACTGTTAAGGACCTAAAATTGTAGCCAACAGTTCAGTTCAGATGAACTGAAGAGTTCAGTTCTTCTGAGTGACTCCTGCTGCACTCAGGTGAACACATCCATCCATCCATCCATCCATTTTCTTCCGCTTATCCGGGGTCGGGTCGCGGGGGCAGCAGCTTCAGAAGGGAGGCTCAGACTTCCCTCTCCCCAGCCACTTGTTCCAGCTCCTCTGGAGGAAACCCAAGGCGTTCCCAGGCCAGCTGAGAGACATCATCCCTCCAGCGTGTCCTGTCTCTTCCCCGGGGCCTCCTCCCTGTGGGATGTGCCTGGAACACCTCACCAGGGAGGCGTCCAGGAGGCATCCTTACCAGATGCCCGAGCCACCTCAACTGGCTCCTCTCGACATGGAGGAGCAGCGGCTCTACTCTGAGTCCCTACCGGATGACCGAGCTTCTCACCCTATCTCTAAGGGAGAGCCCAGCCACCCTGCGGAGGAAACCCATTTCGGCCGCTTGTATCTGTGATCTCGTTCTTTCAATCATGACCCATGATTGAAAGATCTACGAGGGTGGGAACGTAGATCGACCAGTAAATTGAGAGCTTCGCTTTTTGATTCGGCTCTCTCTTCACCACGACGGACAGGTACAGCGCCCACTTCACGGCGGACGCTGCACCAATCTGCCTGTCGATCTCCCGCTCTCTTCTTCCCTCATTCATGAACAAGATCCCGAGATACTTAAACTCCTCCACTTGAGGCAGGACGAACCCCCTGACCCACAGTCAGGCAATAAAACCAGACAACAATCCACTTCACAACAAGCTTGTTTCTTTTATTTTCTGCTACTGTCATGTCGAGTCACTTTAGGGTTGACCATCAATTGCAGAGCCTCAGTACCAGGTCCTCACCACAGGGGCATTGATCTATCATGCTGTTTTATGAATAGAGCTCTTTGCTCCACTGGGTTACCATTTTACTAGCCCAGAAGAAGATAAAAGACAATCAATATTTTATGCAAGCAGTGATATCTTCTATTGAACATGAGGAAGAAAAAAAGCTTCCCACCTCAGAGCAACATGAGAGTATAATTACTTTGGTTCAGTCTAAAGTACTGAACCAAAATGAGAGCCGTTTAATAATGAGGAATTTCAAATCAATTTAAATACAAAGTTTAGGGTGAATTAAGAGTTACTTTTAAAAATTAGGTGAATATATCCAAGGTTTCATCTTCATAATTATGCACAATTATCAAGTATTATGACTTCGCCTGTCCCAGATTAGAAACAGTCATGTTTTGCAGCCATAAATTATAGCAAAAATTTTTTGTTTTCTAATTTCTAAGTATACCAAAAAAAAAATCATAAATGTGGCTACCATTCTTGGAACTTTAATTAGAAGGAAAAGGAATGACATGAATAGGTAATTCACTGATGGTAAATGGAACATCACCTCCTAAAGGTGACCTTGTTGAACAGGAGAATTCACTCCTTAAATCAATTGTCTCTAACTTAAATACTCTGCATGCTTTTTCTAGCAATGGCTAATTCTTCTGAGTTCACTCAACAGGTCTACATGATCAACTCTGACCTTTTGAGAAAGATGGTGTAGTGACTCATGTTTAAAATTTCTGTCCCATATTTTTTGCTTTGGGCAAATATAAAAAAAATATAAAAAGAAAATATTATTTATTTATTTACTTATTTTTATTTTTTTTACCACAGCTCTTCACCAAAGCATCACTTTTAATTATCTGTTCTTTTTACATCAGGAAGTCAAAAATCTAGCATCATGCTTACCGCTGAAGATTAACAAGAATTATTCTGGTCAGATGGAATTGACCAGAATATGGTGGGTTCTAATCTGATCCTGATATCTGAGTTTACATGTCACCTGATAATGATATTTTCTGATCCACAACTTAAGTTACTTAAAGAGTTGTTTTCACTCATGGGAATATGGTCGTTTATTCAATTGTACTATTCTTCCATTACTTATGAATAGAAAGTCAACATATTTAAACCCCTCAGCTTGAGGCAGAGGTTGACCTCTGACCTAAAAGGAGCAGCCCATCTTTTCCGTGTGGCAAGACCAAACAAGTAGTTTGGAGAATTTCAATTCTGTTCTGACAAATGCACTAAAACAACTGAGTAAAACTGTAATTCTCCTCTTCTCTGCCTTAATTACATTGAAAGTACAGAAATCCGCTACCAAC